TGTGTGTGTGTGTGTGTGTGTGTGAGAGAGAGAGAGAGAGAGAGAGAGAGAGAGAGAGAGAGAGAGAGAGAGAGAGAGAGAGAAAGGCAAAAAACACAAAATTGTTCTTCGTAAAAAAATGTTCTCAGTAAAGCAAAGGAGACACATAAACCTCCTTCGATGTCGGCTCTTCTTATGATTGGAGTAAAAGGGCAAAAGCTCATTTGATTTTGATTTCCAGAAGAACAAGAAACACATCATCCGGTCCTTCGGGACATCTGTTAAAATTGGAACGATACAGAGAAGATTAGCAAGGCCCCTGCACAAGGATGACACGCATAAATCGAGAAATGGTCCAAATTTAATGTTAAAAAAAAAAAAAAAAAAAAAAAAACCATGTGATGCAACAACAACAGTGGTAAATAGCCTCTTGCTATTGTTGCTTAGAGTCACATGTGCCAGAGTAAAACTTCATCAAAGGAGGGGTCCACAGTGCCATGACTAGTGACTGTCTGTGCAGAAGTTCGCTCTGCCTGGACATGAGTCTCCTGGAGTGCGGAAACTGGTGAGAGGGCTAGCACTGGTAGTACCCAGTTGAGGACCTGAGCCATGCCCAGTACATTCACAAGGTATCATGTGTGTGAAGAACGACAGAATGCCTGCGCTGCCCACTTCTCTCCCACCCGTCCCACTACTGCACAGCACTTTATGCTCTTTTTCTTGAGTTTTCTATTCTAAAACCAGGGTTGCATCCCTGCCGACCGCCGACCCCGACCCCGACTGCCGACTGTATCGACTGCCGACCGTATTGCAGCCGACCAATGGGGCGGGTCGGCAGCCAACCAGTCAAGGGTCGCCGACCGTCGGGGGGTGCAATCCTGTCTAAAACTGAAACACGTTCAAACAACACAATTTGCTCAACTTATTCCGGACATATAATGCATTGTGTACTATTGTCACATAACTACGAACTAGAAGACCGCGCTTACATATTTTGAATTTGTCTGGACAGGGCATTCAAGCACGAGCATCCCTACAGTCCAAATGCCTATCCAGAAGTGCAGATTGCAACATGGGACTTCTGACACGTGTTAGTTTTTCAGCGCACGCCGCACTGCCAATACTCACGTCTAGGAGGTTGGTAGAATTGCGCTCAAACTGGCCCATCGCCCCTTCGTCCAGTGGCCCAGCATCACTCACAGCTTCCATGAGTCTACTCAAGTTTGCCTCGTCATCCTCCTCATTATCATCCACATTACGTTGTCGGCACCTTCCACCTCTGCGTGGTCTGTCTTTCCTCCTCTTTCGCAGGTTCATCTCCCCCTCCCGTGGCTTATACTCCAACAGCCGATGTATCGTCTTTGCCTCCAACTTGGCGGCCTCCGCTAGCCGTTGAGCAGCACGTCCAGTGGGTGCACACAACTGCACCTGCAATGGAACAAGCAGGCAAATGACGTCAGAAATTCTGACAACGTAAACAATAACATACATGTGAAAGCATCCTGTGCTCATACAGTCACGGAGGACAATCCATTATCAGATTGTCAATATCACTATCAGGAAAAACAGAGGACACTCTTCTTGACTGGACAGTCTCTGCACAGCTTAAGGGCATACTCACACTAGGCATGCAAAATCGCAAAACGAGCGGCCAGATCGAGTACTTTTAAAAGAAAAACGTGATCTGGCTGCTCATTTTGTGATTTTGAGTGCCTAGTGTGAGTATGCCCTAAGAGTCTATGCTCACTTGTCAGTGTATCCCTCGCATGCTGTCGAGGGATGATTTCCCACTGCTCCTGGCACACAAGTGGCTTCAGCAGGTTCATATATTATTGCCATCCCAACATGCTGGACAGGGATTATGTTCCAGTGGTCCCAGTGCTGACATTCTGTCCAGGGATGGTGTTCCACTGGTCCCTGCCCACAGTCGTGCTAGGAGCCGATTCTCATCCGTTGCCACATGCACTGCCGTTTGATACGAAGCTCCCAAGCGGGCATTTATTATCATTTGCTACATAAAAGCCAACTTTTTACCCTGGCTCCCCAGCCTCATTGAATAGAGGCCCTCACTCCTCACACACACAACGCAGATGGCGCACCCAATGCTCAAGCCTGTCAATATGGTACTCAAGACAGCAGAACCTGCTGTCAAACAGCCCAACAAAACATCTTGTCACACGGCCAGACAGCCCGCACTAAAAGTCCCACGATAGACCACTTGAAGGGGGGAGCCTCCCAGGGTCTTCACATCACCTCCGTAACCCCTCTCCTCTGCTTGACCCTTTATCTACTTCCTTGCATTTTGAACAATTCTCATAGAAGGTGTTCCTTTTCCTGATGCGCTCTTTCTGCTGGAATTACTGACAGATTTGGGCACTCCTTTTTCAAAACGACAGAATCATGCAACACTAAACATGGTTTCAGTAAGACCTGCTGAACCGAAAGTCTATGAATATCAATGTGTCAACGATGTGCAAGTGTTTTTCGCACTGCATGTGACAGTGTCATGATAAGAAGGGGAGCCCTTTCATCCATTATAAGCCTTTCCATTGGGGTGAGAAAGACACCTCCCTGAACCCCTCTCCTCTGCTTGACCCTCGCATTTCCAACAATTCTCATAAAGGACTAGATGTTGCATACTCGTGAAACACAGTCATAAGTATGGCGCAGATTCCCAGAACCGACCAGATAATACAGAGTTAATACAAATACAGCGGAAGAGTTGATACCCATGGACTGACTCTGACCTGACTCAGACTGCAATTGAACACTGTCAATCATGCATCAGTGGTGTGAAAGCCCTGACCTTGAGCATAGAAGAAAGGCCAGGGTCTGAGATCATACACGGACGAATGGAGGGAGAGGAGAGACGAAGGGAGGAGGAGAGGGAAGACGACGTCAACTCAATGTTTCCAAAGATAGTATCTTGAAATGTCAGAGGTAGCGCAAATCCGAAATGTCGCGAACACAGTGTCTCACAATATCTCAGATATCGATCTCACAATGTCAAGGTACATCTTCAGAGGAAGATGAAATCAGATCCCAAGAGTAGTCCTCAACCTACAGTCCCAATGTCGCTGTCTCCAATATCATCAGAATTCGCAACCATCCTTCATACTCGTAGTAGTCCATAGGAGAACCCAGGAGTAGACTTAGACTGAGAAGGTAGGAGGAGAGAGAGAGAGAGAGAGAGAGAGAGAGAGAGAGAGAGAGAGAGAGAGAGAGA